TTCCTGCTTCAAATGTCCCCTCTCCTGTTCCCCCCACTTCGCACGCTGCTGCTGTAAAGCGTTCTGAGATAACCACATCAAGTGGGTTTTGGTTAAGCAATAAATGCCAGAAGCATGCAATGAACGTAAAACAAATTCTCCCCTGGCTGGGGAAATCTTCCTGTCGTGCTGCAACTGCAAATGAAACCCGCCTGGCTTGGACCCAGAGCGGGACTGTTTCGGGATGATTAATGCTTGCAGTCAGGAGCAAACGCGCTGCTTCAAAATTCAGCACCAGGCCAATGAACAATAAATCAGCCCCACCTTGCTCTGCAATGGCTCTCCCTCCCGTCTGGCAGGCAGGACCGGCAACAAAAGGCTGAGCTGCGAACCGGAGCGTGGGGAGAGGGAGAAGAGAGCAGGGCATGGGGGTTGGCCATGTTTTGGGGCATAGCCATTGCTCCTGCCTTGGCCGGAGGCGAGGAGCCGGCTCCCCGTGCCATGACTCCCCTGTGCCTCTGCACCCCAGCTCTGCAGCCGCTGCAATCCCACTGCTGCAAACAGGACCTGGGGGGGTGGCCGTGCCACCGGAGGACAGGTCTGCCGGCCCGAGGTGGTGCACGGAGAGGGTACGCTCACGTGTCTCAGTAGAGCAGGGAAGTTTCAACGCATGAAAACATGTATCTGACCAAAATCCCAGACTCTTGGTAGAAAAATACCTATTTCAACGAGTATTTACCAAAATGGGGGGAGTCACAACCAAAGAAAATGCTTGGAAATAGAAATCATCTCCACAGAAAGCACTGACTCTGCTGCTGCCAGGGCTTGGGCAAGCAGGAGACGCTGTGCCTTGGGAAGAGTGGGGAAGAGCGAGCGCTTCGTCCCTTCAACTTTCTGCTCTAGTTTCTAATGTCAACAAATTCAGGGAGGGAGGCACTGAGCTCCAGACATCCCACATGGGAAATGCTCGCAGATGAGCAGCAGCACCGTCGCAGTCTGTCACTGCGTGCCGGTGGCTCGGCTCTCCCGCGGCTCTGCACGCTCACCAACGCCGGCTTCAACCCAAGCCGGCACATGAGCGACGGACGAGGATTTTTCTAGGTCACCATCCAACACCTGGAGTCGGGAAATCTACCGCGATATGCTCATTTTAGTGGCCTAATCTTCAGTGTTGCTGAGCAACTGCATCCCAGCGGCAGGCACTCCTATGAGCGATGATATTTTAATCGTTCTCGAAGGTCAGATGCTCCACTGGAACCAGGGGGCTGGGCTGCATCTACCCCCTCTGCCAGCCTGCCCGCAGGGAGCGAGCAGGGCAAGGCAGGCACTGTGAAGGCAAGTCCAAATGGGGACTGGGTAAATGTGGAGCAGGCAGCCCCAGGAGGCCACGTCTGTCCAGGGATGGACGAGGACCAGGGGGCATATGGCGCTTGGGGTTGGACACGCCAGCCCCGGGACTACGGGACCTGCTGCTGGTGTGGGGACAGGACCTGCGCCAGCGGGCTGGGTGCTTGATCGGATGCTGTCCTAAAAGCACCGTGGGGTCACCCCAGCACCCATCGGCTCCAACCCCGTCCTGGTGTTCACCCTGCAGCCAAGCTTCTTGCCCCGGCCAGTAAATAGCTGCTTTCTGCTGGGGCTGAAGCTGTTGCGGCCAGCCCAGGAGCACCTCAGCATCAGATGCACCCTCTGAGCATCCCACAAGTGCTCCAGTGTAGCTCAGCTCGCTCCCGGGGGTAAACGCCACTGGGAGTGTTGTTCTGCAGCGGGGAGCAGGACATTGCCCAACTGCAGACAACAAAACTGACCTGAAAACAGTGGCCTTCACAAGTAAAGAGTGACTCAGGAGCATCTCAGCTCCAGGGCCTGGCCAAGGCTCCCGCAGAGGCTGAGCTTCCTTGAGCACGGGCTCTGAAAGGTGTCTGGCATGTTGGGAAGCCTCAGGCTCCAGCCCGGCACGGCCAAGCACGTGTACTAGGCGCGGAGGAAAGACTTAAATCGTCTGCCGCCGCACAGGTCTCCGCTGAAGTCAGTGCTCACGCTCACACCATAAATCTGGTGGCTCAGGGTGTGCTCAGGCCCCCGCTCTGCTGCAGAGCACCAGGCGATGGCAGGGGTCCACCAGGCAAGGGAGTGGGGAAGGGGAAAAAAACCCTGTCCTTGCCAAAAAGGCGGAGAAGACTGGAGCTGACCGCGAGGCAGCAGCTACACCCAGCCCCCAGGACTGTCCCTGCAGCTGGCTGTGATCGTCACTCTGGGATCAGCCTGGGTACACACCACCACAGCACCCGGCCTTGAGCAAGGGCCTACCCGCCCTCTTCTTCCTCCCGGCTAAGGGAAGAGCCCCACGGCGGCTCAGCCCTGGACCTGCACTCACCCGCTGATGATCTCCTTGTTCTCAGCCCGGATGAAGTGCTCCTTCTCCGGCGTCAGGATGCACAAGGAGAATTTCTGCCCTGTCCGGCTCTCCCCATCCACTACATCTGTGCACTGGTTCATGTTGATGGTGCCCTGCGGGAGGGTTGTTGGCTGCAAGGGGAAGGAGAAAGGAGTAACGTTTAAGGAGAGAAGAGCAGATGAGTGCAGAGTTGAGTCCTAAAACCTCTCCTGGTGTACACTAGGATCCTACACACCAAGACGCTCTGCCCACGAGTACCCAGACCCATCCGTGCGCCGTGCTGGCACACAGCAAAGCCCCGTGCCGCACATCTGGGAACACAGACCAGCAGACACGACTCCTGCCAGCCCAGTCCAGCCCAGGCCCAGCCAATGCTGCCAGCAAGACACCTCTCCTATGCCGAACGCCCAGGGAAGGACGGCTGCCCCGCTGCAGCACGGGGACACCAAGGCAAGGCACCGAGTGGCCAGCTTTGGGTTTGCAGCTGCAAACCATCTGGGGTGGTGGGACAGCACCTGGGGACAGGGGGTAGCAAAGCAGCAAGGCCCCACTGCCCTCTGTGCAGGATGGCTCAGGCACTATAGACAGAAGGACAGATACACATGCCAGGTTTTTCCCATTAAAGTTAACAAAACATGGAGTTTGCCAGGGAGGGACCGCCACATGGAAGGGACCTTGTTTGTCTGATGGGCTTTGCAAACACACTGTCACCTCCCGGCCCCCTTGCTCCAAGCAGACGCAGCGGAGTGGGACAGGCGGTGGCCCCCCCGGCCCAAGGGGACGCGGAGGGACCCAGAGGGGTGTCAACACTGACAGGAGCTGACAGGTCCATCTGGAGCGGCGCCGGCTCATCCGATTACAGCGCGGCCACTCGCTCCCGGTGCATGGCGCCCGCAGCCCTCCCTTCCCGAGCAGCAATGCCATGTCTCCCCCAGCCTGCCTGTGTCCCACCAGGCTCGGTAACGCTGGGGGCCCCCCGGCATCCCGGCACAAACCTGCACCTGGGGCATAAATGACCAGGCGCAGGGACACCCCCGAGCTGCCAACGGCACCGAAGGAGCACCCAAAGCAGCCCGCAGCCACCTCCTCACCCTGCCAAAGCCTCCTTGCGCCCTCCAGATGGCTGGGCCAACAGGGAGACGGATTTTTGGCAGATGCTGTTAAGGTTTTTACCATGGAAACCGGCTCTCCTGCCAGTAAAACCCTCCAAAAGCAGCCTGTGTCATGCAAAGAAGGGGTGACTGGGGAGAGCTCAATGACCCCAGCCTACGACCCCAAGGAATTCAGATCAGCCCCCCGAGGCCCCTGGTTTACCCATCTGCAGGCCGTGGGAAATAGCCCCCTTCCCCAGGACAAGGGCTTTCCCTGCAGCTGTGTCCCTGGGCGGGAGCATCCTACGACAGCCCGGGGTGGTATGGAGCCATCACGGGTGCTGCAGCATCAGTGCCCAGCATGGGCACACGAACAGGACCAGTCATACATCAGGGACACCAAAACCTCCTCTTTTCCTTCGTGGAAACCAGCATCAGCACCCACAGACCCCACAGGACTGGAGGGAGGGAGGGAAAGCAAAGCCAAGCCCAGACTCCCGGCACGACACATGCACAGCCGCCCACCCTGCACTGCCGCGGGTAGTCGGCACTTCAGAGGATTTTTTGTCTTAGACAACAAAAATAAAACCCTGCTTTCCGGGAGCTATAAGAACCCAACGGAAGAACTTTCTCCTGCTCCAAGTGGAGTCTTAGAAACAGTTTTTGTCTCACTGGCCTTTGGCACAGCCAAGGCCTCCAGGACTGTAAGGTCTGGGTCCGACCTCCTTTCCCACCCAGAGCGTTTTTGCACCAAGGAACGCAACCAGGACAGGGCAAAAAGGGGATGAGGGTAGCTCTAGGAGGGAGCCCCAGTCCCTCTCAGGGACCCTGGGCCACTCAGTCCCTCTTGCCACAGGCACCCCACGACTCCCTGGGAGGCCCTACAGGGATTTGGCAGGGAGTTGGCACAGGAGGAGAGGAGGAGACGGCTCCCTGCGAAACCCGCCTGCTCTCCTCCCTCTTTAACCCCACGGCAGCGTTCAGGGCGGCTTCCCCCCCTGCTCACCCCCAGCCCCGACCCAAGCGCTGGAGCAGAGGAGCCGGTTTGGGGCCCCCACACCGCTGGGCTGGCCCTGTGAAGTGGTTTTGCTGCGCACCCCTCCTTGTGAGGGTGAACGTTGGCATCTCCCACAGTCCGATGCATGGGCACCCGCCCACCACGGCGCCTGCGAGCCGGGATGCCAGGAGAGGGGCTGCGAGCAAAGCTGGGACTGCCTCCCTTGCACCTGGGGCCAGGGACAGGACGGGCACCAGGAACGAACCCTCCACCCCACGGCAGCCCCCCTGCACCCCCACACCTCTCGGCAGCAGATGAAACCTGACGGACCAGCAGCCTTGCTCACTTGGGATGCAAATTCCTTTACACCGTTTATTTCCTTCCTTGGAGGCAGCACAGGCACTTTGAAGGAAAGCAAAATGCGAATGGTGCCAGGTGGAAACGCGCGCGCGTGCACGCAAACTCCACCGAGGAAAAGGACGGGGCTCGGGCAGCGCTGCACCCCGGGAGCACCTCGAAACCAACTGGGGATCCCTGGCGGAGGAGCTGGCGATGGCGCACGGCTGCTCTCCCCAAGGAACCAGGAGAACAGGCACAGCCCTCGCGTGCTGACGCTGCGGGGCAGTGGTGTGGGAGCAGGGGAGATGGGAGAGGCTCTGCAGCAGGGGACGAGGACACATGGACCCCTTCCCCGCTTCTGAGCACCCGTTTCTGCACTGGGGGGGTTTTCAGGGCTGGGGATCCCCAGGGAAGGACGAGCAGAGCTGGCCCCCGGGCTGGTCCCAGGCCAGGTGAGGACTGCGTGGCTCCGGCAATTGGAAGGGAATAAATAAATGCAAAAGCAGGGAGGTGTCATATGGCAGAGACGCCAAAACAATAACAAGACTGGGACTTCAACCAGCCCTTTGAAGAGCAGATGCTTTGATACAAGGTTGAACCCAGCATCAGACCCCAGGGCCACAGGGAGGCTTCGCGTCCGGGTGAGGCAGGAGTGGACGCTCAGGCTCAGCTCTGGCTCCAGCTCCTGGCTTTTGCCGGTCCCCGCCTCAGGGACAGCCCTGTCCCCAGGCGCTGGCCCTGCCTTTGCTATTTCCCATGCTGCTGTCAATGGGATGGAGCACACGGCTAACCCGTGACTGGATCTGGTGCCTGGGTGTGTCTTTTAACAGGGCGGAGGAGTGGAAGCAGGGTGCACCAGCAGAGGACACCATTACAGGCACCGTCA